TGATTTTGCTAAGGTGCTTCAATGTTTTCGGTGCCCTCTCTTTGTCGACATTCTGACGCTCCGCGATAGCCCACAAGGCCTCCAGCACCGCCTCAGGACGGGCCCAACGGCCCCCAGGAAGGCCCCGGGGCGGCTTAGCAGGGCTCCATGACGCCCCCACGGACGCCCAAAACCGCCCACCAGGCCCTCAAGACGGCCCTAAGATGGCCTCCAGAGGGGGCTCATGAAGCGAAATTTCGAGTCTTTCGCCTGCGGAAGTTCCCCGGAGGCCCCCAGAAGGCGCCAGGACCGCCAGGGGCAGGCTCCAGAGGGCGTTCGAGGCCCCATCCGAGTGCTCCGAGAAGTAAAAATAATTGTTTTCACTCGGGTTTTTCAACGTTTTCGGTGCCCTCGCGTTATGCACATCCTGACGCTCCACGACGGCCCACAAGGCCTCCGACACCGCCTCAGGACGGGCCTTGTGGCCTCTGAGAAGGCCCCGGGACGCCCCAGCAGGGTTCCATGTCGCCCCCCGGGGCGCCCAAGACGGCCCACGAGGCTTTCAAGACGGCTCCGAGACGGCCTCCAGAGGAAGGGCATGAACCGAAGTTTCGAGTTCTCCGCCTCCTGAAGCTTCCCCAAGGCCTGAGGAAGGCGCCAGAATGGCCCCGGGCTGGCTCCAGATGGCGTCCGAGGCCCGAGAGACCCTCAGGACGGCCCCAAGACGGGCCAAACTGCCGAAGAGGCGCCCAGGACAGCCCCAGACCACCCCAGAACAGGCCCAAGGGGCCCAAGAACGGGAGCAGGAGGCTTCCAGGGACCTCCGAGAGGCCTCTGGGATCCCCCAGAGGCCCCCAACACACCCCCGATCCCTGAGAGGCCCTAAGAAGACCCGGACGAGGCTCCAAGAACAGCCCAACAGAGCTGCGAGAGCCGTCCCGTGAGAGCCCAAAGAGGGTAAAATCGTTGATTTCCAATGGCTTTTCCACTGTTTTTCGCCTTCTCACGTTTTCCCGCTTCCAACCTTCGAAGATCGAGGGTTTTGAAAACAAAGCAAGGTGGATTTCCCAGAATTCCTTTTTTCTCAAAGTGGGACTCCCACTCGGAGATCCCACACATCCCCTGACATCTGGCCGGTACCGCGCCTCCCGGCTTCCCGGGGGGCCCCAAGACACTCAAGGACAGCCCAAGACGACCCCAAGGAGCCCCCAGAACGTAAAGAACGGCCCAACACGCTCCCGCGCAGCCCAATACACCCTTCCGACGGCTCTCCAGGCCTCCAGGAGGCCTCCAGAACCCCCAGGGGGTCCGGAAGATCCCATACCCCTGAGGGGCCCGGCTAACAAAACCCGCGAGGCACAAACAAAAAACAGCGCCGAACAGCGCCGAGGAACTGGAAAAAATTAAAATCCCACAGTTCCTTGTTTGGTTTCTCAAGTTTGGCCCCTGGTCTACTCTTGCACAACAGACCACAATTCAGACCTCCCTCACCTCCCAAAAAAGAACCCAGGAAGCCTTTGAGGGCCCCAAATCGTTGAATACTTACAGGAGATTAATTAATGATTTCTGCGTTTCCGCACTTCCCCTTCTATACGATTCCGAGGCTTGCGCAGGGCCTCAAAGGGAGTTCCTGGACGCAAGAAGCGACCAAAACGAGATTACATGAGTTAGCCGATCAAGCCTAGCTAGAACTTGAGCGCGCGCGAAGCGCGCGCGATGGTTCTAGTATGTGTGTATATGTATGCGTATATGTGTATATATATACATATATTATATATATGTGTATACATACATACATATACATATATATATATATATATATATATACATATGTATATATATACATATATATATATATATATATATATCGGAGTAGGGCCCGGGGGCGGCACGGGGCGCTGCCTGTAATCTCCATGGGGGGTGCAGGGCGCCCCGGCAGCGTCCGAAGCGTCCCGGAGGGCCCCTGGGACCGCCAGGAACAGTTCGAGACCGCCCAAGACGGCCCCCGAGCGCACCAAGACGCGCATAGATAGCCTCAGGAATGGCCAGGAAGGCCCGAAGACGTTCCAAGAGAGCTCCATGAGGCCCCGAAGGCATCCCAAGAGGCCTCCCAAGAGAGCCCCGACAAGCCAAAATCGTTGATTTTCATTGTTTTTGTTTTAGGTTTTTGGCCTTCTCGCTTTTTCGGGGTTCCGACGCTCCAAGGCCGTCCAAGAGTTTCCCAAAACCGCTCCAAGACGGCCGAAGAGGCCCCCAAGATCGCCCCAAGACGGCCCAAGAGACCCCCAAAATCGTCCCAAGACGGCCCAGGAGAGCCCCAAGATGGCCCAGGAGCCGCCCAAGACGGTTCCAGGAGAGCCCCGACAGGGCTTCAAGACTGTCTAAGCGAGCCCAGCGGTCCCCCCCAAGAACCTCCCCGGATGCCCCCAGAGGCCCCCAAGATGCCCAAGAATGGCCCTGAGCGCGCCCCAAGACGCCTCCAGGAGAGCCCAACAGGCAAGCCTTCGAGAGGCCCCCAAGAGGCCCACTGGAGGCCCTCAGGAGGTCGTCCCCATCATGTTCCCGGAAGGCGGTCCGGGAACATGATTCCGCGCCTTGGAGGAGTATTCTGCGCCTTCCGAGGCGCCTTGGACGACGTACGTATGTTTCTATAGATTGTCCTTCTCCTGTGTGCACAATCCTACATGTTTTACGTATGTCTATATATATATATATATATATATATATATATGTCTATGTATATGTATATGTATATGTTTATGTATGTGTATATGTATATATGTATGTATGTATACATATATATATAAACAAATAAATGAATGGGGAGGGTGTCCTGGATCAGGGGGGGGCCTCACTTTGCCCAGTGTCTGTGGTCACCCCCCCGCCGGAGACGCCAGGACGCTCCCAGGACCTTCTAAAATTGCTCCAGGACGCCCTCAGGACAGCCCAAGAGAGGTCCGAAGCGGCCCGGGAGCACTCCAAGACGGTTAAAAAGCTGCCAAAGCGTCCCAGCAGGTCTCCGACAGCACTCTCGGGAGGGGCCCAATAGGAAATTGTCACTGATTTTTAATGGGTTTTGAAGGGTTTGGGCGTTCTCCCCAGTTCGGCTTCCAGACGCTCCAAGGCGGCCCAAGAGGCCCGAAAGATCGCCTCAAGACGAGCCCAGAGGCCCCCAAGAGACCACCGAGACAGCCCAAGAGGGCCCCAAGACGGCCCAGGAAGCTTCCAAGACGGCCCAAAAGAGCTCCCAGAACACTCCAAGAGGCAAGAGGCCTCCAAAAGGCGCCGAAAGGGCCCCGCAAGGCTTCCAGACGCTGGTGAGAATGACAATGATGATTATGCAGGGCGGCCTCAGGCCCACAACCTAAATCCCCAATACTGCTCACGCGGCATGCAAGACGCTGCGGAGATATCCTCGAGTTCGACGGGGGAGCTTCGGAGACGACGGTGACGAAAAGGATGACGATGATGACGACGATTATGAAGTTGACGACGACGACGATGATGATGATGATGATGATGATGATGATGATGATGATGATGATGATGACGAGGAAGAAGATTATGATGATGATGTTGACAGTGGGAATGATGATGATGCTGATGATGATGATGATGATGATGTTGATGATGGTGATCGTGATGTGAGTGATGGTGATGATGATGATGATGATGATGATGATGATGATGATGATGATGATGATGATGCTGATGATGATGATGATGATGGTAGTGATGCTGACGATCATTATGATGATGCTGCTGATGATCAGGATGATAACGCCGATGCTGATAATAATGGTGGCGATGCTGTTTATGGTGCTTGTGATGCAGGAGTGGGCGGATGATGAAGATGATGACGATGATGATGACGATAACGATGACGACGATCACGACGACGACGATAATGATGACGATGGCGATGATGAGGATGATTATGTTGATAATTCAGGTGACGATATTGACGATGATGACGACGATACCGATGATGACGATGGTGATGACGATGTTGCTGCTGATGGTGGTGATGGTGACGATTGTGATGATGGTGATGGTCATGATGACGATGCCGCTGACGAAGACGCCGGATATGATGGTGATGAGGATGGCGATGATGACGATGACGATTATCCTAGCTAGAACTTGAGCGCGCGCGAAGCGCGCGCGAGGGTTCTAGTATAATATATATATATATATATATATATATATATATATATATTTATATATATATATATATGGTCGAGGGTTTGGGCCCCCCCGATGCTAATGCCATCGGGACCCCCCCCCGCGCGATGCCCCCCCCCTGTGGGCGTGGGCGTGGCGTGGTGGCTCCCCCCCCCTGTGGATGTGGTGTGGGTGTGGTGTGTTGTTGTGGGTGTGTGCGGGGTGACGCCATGGTCCTCCTCCCCCCCTTCCTCCCCCTCTGTGGGTGCGGTGTGGGTGCGGCGTGTGGCTGGGATTGGCGTCATGTTGACAGCTCCGGAGCTCGACGTCGTCGCCGCCGCCGCTGGTGGTGCCGTCGACGTCGTCGTCGTTGTCGTCGTCGTCCTTGTCGTCGTCGTTGTTGTCCGTGTCGTCGCCGTCGTCGTCGTCGTCGTCGTCGTCGTCGTCGTCGTCATTGCCGTCGTCATTGCCGTCGTCCTCCTCCTCCTCCTCCTCCTCCTCCTCCTCCCCATCCCACCTGGGGGGTGGGCCCGAGGACCCTGGGACCCCCATCCCATCTGGGGGGGGGCCCGAGGACCCTGAGCCCGCGATCATGCATATATATATATATATAGATATAGATGCATCTATGCCCTCCTGCCCTCCTGTCACGCCCGCCCGCCTGCCACGCCCTCCTGCCATACCCTCCTGCCCCCATCACCCCTGCTTTTCTGGGCGCCGCAATCTGCTATTGTCTTGCATCTTGCCTGGAGCTTTCGGGGCGCCTTCCTTTCCCCTCCTCGCTCCCCCGCCGTCCCTCCCCTCATCCCCAGTCCCGTCTCACCCCCACGAGCTGCCTGGGTCGCGCAAGCGCCGAGGCCGTGGGACCCGTCGAAGCCCGCAGACTCCTACAGCCCAGGTTGGGAGTGGCAAGCGCCACAGGCTGTACACGCGACCTTCGTCGCACCAGTGCCGATACCGCGTGTGGCGTCGCATATCACGGGCGCGGGAGGGGGAGGGCGGGCTGCGAGCTTGCAAGCATTGCGTCCTCTCGGCGCGTGCGCGCGTCAATGGGCTGCAGCAGTGTTTCGGCAGGGCCGTGCGACGGGTAGACGTCAGAATTCTGTCTTCTCGGGAGGTCCTGAAACAGTTTCGGTTCGTGCATGGGGCCAACGACCAGGGGCGGGGTTGGGGAAGAGGGAGGGATCGAGGGAGGGAGGGGAGGAATAATTGCGGGGGGGGGAGACAGGCAGGCAAGCAGGCACAGCGGGCGTGAAGGAACAGGCAACCGTCGCTCGGACACTGGATATGGCAAGCCTGGGTTGTTAGATGGTTTCTGTTCGCCGTAAAATTGTGTTCGCTGCATCTACCAACCACGGTTGATGATGAAGCCTGCATGTGGGTCGCCCGCGGTTGTGGACGGGGAGGCATGGGAGGGTGAGTGAGATGCACGATCTAGTGCCGCAGAGACTCGAGAGGCGTTGCGGAGACTGGTCGGCTGTGACTTGCGCAAGATATTGCAGGGACGAGAGTTGGGAGGGATCAGGCCCATCAATCGCATCATGGGCGCGCTGAGCAGCATTCCCGAGCAGATGCAGCTCGTCCAGAAAGGTCAGGGGCGCTCCTTCAGAACAGATGGCGGCGTCTGCTAGAGCGAGATCGCGTGCCTCCGAAGTCTGCGTTCGCGCAGACGCTAAAAACACATCTGCGTTCGCACCCTGTCCTGCAGAGGTCTCTGTGGCACGGGCACCGCATCGCGGGGCAGCGGCTTCCCCCGGCCACGAGCGCAGGAGAAAATCCTTCCAGGCGCCAAACGCGACCCGAGAACTCGGGCAAAAGCCGCACAGAGGACGCGCATGTGTGTATATGTGTCTGTGTGGTGTGTGGTGTGTGGTGTGCGTGTGTGTGTGTGTGTGGTGTGTGTGGTGTGTGTGTGGTGTATGTGCGTGTGTCTGTTTGTGTCTGCTCGTCTGTGTGTCTATGTGTCTGTGTCTCTGTGTATACATGTCTCTGCGTGTGTGTCTGTGCGTCTGTGTGTCTGTGTCCATGTGTCTGTACGTGTCTGCTCGTCTCTGTGTTTGTGTGTCAGCGTGTGTTCCTCTGTGTCTGCGTGTCTGTGTGTCTTGGTGTCTGTGCGTCTGTGTGTCTCTGCGTCTGTGTGTCCGTGTGCCTCTGTGTTTATGTGTTTCTGTGTCTCCGTGTATGGTTGCTTGTTTCTGTGTCAGTGTGTCTGCGTGTCTTTGTGTCTGTGCGTCTGTCCTTAAGGTTCCTCTACCACACCTATCGCCTGCACTTTGCGGGGTGCGACGCTTCGTACGCAGCGCCTTCGACAATGCTCGATCGCAAATAGTATGTCAATCTGCTGCTCGCGCTTGAGGACCCTCCGCGCCAGTGGCTCCAAATGTGCCTGCGTCTCTGTGTCTCAGTGTCTCTATTGCGAAGGCCTTACGACCGATGCCGCCGACCTTGTAGGCAGCGACGATGAAGAGAATGGAGGTAAATGAGTCCAAGATGCCCTCATATGGCTCGAAGACGGCGCCAGATGCCTGCAAGGTCGTCCGAAGACAGCTCAAGAGGCCTCCTCCAGGGTTCGGGAACGGCTCCAGAGAGTGCCAAGATAGGCAAAGAGCGCCCTCAAGTGGCCCGAGAGGGTTCCAAGACGGCGTCAAGCGAGGTCCAAAAGCGCCCGCAGAGGCTGTCAAGAGTGCCGCCAGAGGCTGCCAAGAGAGTCTAAAAATTGCGAAAGGTATCAAAGGAGCCTTCAGATAGGCTGAAATGGCCCGCAGACGGCCCTGGAGGGCCAACGAAACCCTAGGACGCAGGAGGATGAGAGGCGGGCCCGCCCCCAGGGAGTTGCCCCGGGACACCCCCCACCGGCGGGGAAGGGATCAAAGGGCCCGCAGACGGCCCCGGAGGGCCAACGGAGCCCCAGGACGCAGAAGGATGAGAGGCGGGGGGCTGCGTATCCGAGGGGGGGGGACCCCCCCCCCCGGGAGTCGGGGGGGACCCCGTCCCGGGAGCTGGGGGGACCCCCCAGGAGTTGCGACGGCACCCCCCCCCCGGCGGGGAAGGGATCAAGGGAAGGGGCTTCCCTTCGACTGAAGGACGACGTTGTTCAATTGTTGTGTGGAGTTGTGTAGGGAGCCGTCGGAAAGCAGAAAAGGCGACGACGCTGTGTGGAAGACGGAAAAGCCTCTCCCACACGCCGACATGGTCGGCGGATTTTTTTGTGTCTTTGTGTCTCTGTCTCTGTGTGTCTGTGTGTCAGTGTGTTTGTATGTCTCTTTGTTTGCGCGTTTGTGTGTCAAGGTGTCTGTGTGTGTGTGTGTCTGTGTGTGTGCGTGTGTGTGTGTGTACCTGTGTGCGTGTGGATATGCATCCTGAGCGATGCCTAAGGGCCCAGCCGCCGCGTGCATTGTGCTCAGACTTACGTCGCCTGGTGGCTGCGCGCGAGGTCGCTACTGCCAAAAGTGCGTGTTGGTGTATGTGTGTGTGTGTGCGTGCGTCCGTCCGTGCGTGCGTGCGTGCGTGTGTATGTGTGTGTGCGCGTTTCCATTCAGAGATTGGGCGACTTCATTTGCTTTATTTATAGTTCGGGGAAGTCGGGGCCCAGCCACACATGCTACATGTGCGCTGCTGCTGTTGAGTTTTTTTTTTTTTCACAGGCACTCATAGCTTTTTATGTGCAGAACCTCCTGTGCAGGGGGGTCAGGGTTCCGCTCAAGGCCCAAGAGGCCGCAGATGCGTATCGGCTCTCTGCACAGCAGGACTGTTAGCATCGTGCTGGGAAATATTCAGTGATTTCTCATACAGACGTTCGTGCTGATATCCGAAACGCTCCGCGATTCACTTCCTGCTGGGCCCTCACGGGATCTTGGGACGAGACGCGGCTGAGTACCAAGTGGGACGTCTTGGGGGCACTCGAGACCAATACAGGTGAGTACGAACATACATCACATCACAAGTGTGTTCCTGGGAGCGTGGAGCGTTCATCCTCGAACTTCGTGTACCACACCCAGGCATCCGTATCCTTATCCATAACATCTGCCTTCTTCTATTACGTGTTCGACTTCGTTTTCTGTCTGTCAGATTTGGTTTGGTTGCAAGGACGGTTTCAGTGTCAACGATGCATCTGGACCACGTCTTGGCAGAGCGACACTTTTGCAGCATATCGGCAATTTCTTTCACCTCCGAGACGATCGATGGCTGCGCGAGTTTTGCACCCTGAACGTGACGCTCTACCGTACACACCATGCTTTCAACCATACGACACGGACGTGTTATTGGACTTTCGTACAGCTGAGGAGGGGGCACGAGCTATTCCAGGCAACTCCCGAATATTCGACGGCCTTTCATGCATGGAATGCTACACGTCATGCAGCCAGGCACTAAGCGGTGCTCCCCTCCTCCAGCAGTGGTCAGTAAAGCTCGCTGACAAGTTCCACTTTCCCTTGTTCGACGGTAGTGCGTATGTGGACTTCTACGCGTCCATCTTCGTAGCCCACCGCATCTCTTACATACATATTTGCTTCCCTCCCTGCCCTCACGCAGCGCGCAGATGGGTTATCTTTTGGATTTCCGCGCTGGCAACGCTTCTTGGCAAGAGTTCGTTAGATGGCTTAGGGTTCCCCATGCTCGTCCTACGGATTCTGGCAACTTTCTTCTTTTCTTCATGTACAACCAAGGATAATCCTTCACGAGTTTTTCGAATACGGCACTTGGTAATGCGTATATGCTTACTGTACGTTCTAGGTGTTGAGACTGCGGACGCCCTCGAGTCTCGACCGGACGACACCATAACTCGACACGTGAAGATTCGATTTCCACTCACGACGCTGAGCGGCTCTCATTCATTAAATGGAATGGTCAGTGATATCCAGGTGGTTTCAGGCTGGGCGACCACGCTACCAACCCACTCTAACTTTCGTTTTGATAAGCCGTACATCGCTCGCGTTGCATCGTTGCTCTCAGCTGGCCTGTGGCAGGTGTTGCACACGTGTAGCGGCGCGCCGGGCTCGGGGGCCGAGGGCTGGAACCTCGACCGCAAACGTGGGTTCCAGGGCCCAGGCCCGCCCCTGGGAGGCCTACAATCGCCCCAGGGCGCCCTCAGACAGCAACCCCAGCGGCCCCAGACGGTCTCGAGACATCCCCAAGACGCCCAGGGGTCCTTGGCGACGCGCGATGCGTTTTCAATTGCCCCGGAGGCCCCCAAGATGCCCCAAGCGGCCTTCAAGATGCCGCCCAAGAGCGCCCCGAGAGGGCAAAATCGTTGATGATCGTAATTTTTTCAGCGTTTTTGGCATTATTGCTGTTTCGCGCTTCCGGCGCTAAAGCACCGCCCAAGAGGCCCCCAAAACCGCTCCAAGACGCCCCAAGACGGCCCAAGAGAACCCCGAGACGGCCCCAGATCCGCCCTAGATGGCGCAAGAGGGTCCCGAGACGGTCCGGGCCCGCCCCGAAACAGGCCACGACAGGCTAGGAGGGCCCCAAGTGGGCCCAAGACGGTCCCAAGAGGCCCCGAAGACGCCCAAGATTCCCTCAAGACGGCCGACGACGATTCCAACGCGTTCCAAGACGGACTCAAGAGGCTTCCCGAGAAGACCTTGGGAGACGAAATTCATTGAATTGCCGATGGACTTTGAACGATTTGGGCGTTCTCGCTTTTCCCGCTTCCCAGCGCCCCCTCACGGCCCCAAAGGTCCTTCAGATCGCTCCAAGACGGCCCACGAGGCCCCGAAGAGGGCCCCAAGACGGCCCAGGAGGCTCCCCAGACAACCCAAGCGCGCCCCAAGAGCGCCCCAAGAGGGGGCCCAGAGGGGGACCGCGAACCGATACTCCGAGGCCCCTGGCCCCATAGCTTCCACGAAGCCCCTCTGAGGCCCCTTGGAAGCTCCAAGAGGCCCCCGAGGAGCCCCCAGGGAAAGCCCAAGAGGCCCCCCAACACACCCCAACAAATCATATTCTCAGAAAGCCTTCCGGGGACATGCTTCACCATGGGCCCGAGAGTCTCCGGAGGCTCCGAAGTACCATCGCGCCACCGGAGAGCTGTCTGGAAAGTTGATTGGGAACATGACTGATCGCCTTTTCGCGGCCCTCCGCGGCTCGTTTCGCGCAAAGTTGGCCCAAGTGCCCTCTTGAACCGACGACGACAAAAATGGCGAAGCGATGAAGACGAGGAGGAGGAGGACGACGACGACGATGACGACGACGACGACGACGACGACGACGACGACGACGACGGCGCGCCCCAAGAGACGACGACATTTCGACGACGACGACGACGGCACGTCCCAACAGGCTCCCCAAGACGACCCCAAAACCCACGTTCCCAACAGACCTTCTGGGAACCCCATTCATCAGGCCTTCGCCCCGCACGCAACCATCTGCCCCGAAAGCCTTCTGGAATGCGAACTGGCGCGCCCCACCATGCGTTCAGCGTTATGGGCATGTCTTCATGTCCCGTTCAATCCATATGTGGTCCATTACTTCAGTGGAGCAGTGAACTCGTCAAGGCCTGGGGCTTGCTAGAACCTGAGCGCGAGCGAAGCGCGCGCGATGATTCGATCCGCGTGCACATCCGTCAGATACGTTCATCAATGAATGCTACCCGC